CGCCCCCCCCCCCGAAACAGACCCTCGGCCTCTGGGAAGACACGTCGCTTCCTGGTTAAGCATTTAACTTACTAGACCCATGGAGGCTGATGCCAGATAAAACGAGAGCGTCCACTCGGTGCAAATGTCCAACGATCAAGGAGCGCAGGAGGCGGACACCGTGGAGAGGCCACGAGCCCTGCGGGTTGGGCTGTGACGCTGGAGGTAGCCTGTCTCCTTCGTGGATACAGCATCCTTCACCCCTCGCAGGTCCAGAGCAGCTGTCTGTCACCAAACCCTTCCGCTTCCGTAAGTTTCCCCCCTTCTGTGACGATGGGGCGGCTTGGTCACAGTTTGCAACGTGGTAACTTCCCATTTTTCAGGTGTTTACATCACTGCTCTTGGTTTTCTTGTCTTCATCTGTGAAATGGGCTGAAACCAGTTCCTACTTCATGGTTTCTTAGGACAGTGCTGTTACATAAACGCTCAGTGACACTCATTCCTGTTGTATCGTACTTTGCAAGAATAAAGGGGATGCAAAGATCCAGTCCATACCCTCACCTTCAACTTGGATGAAGGCATGGCCCCTCCGTCTACACAGCTGCGTGCCGTGCACTGCCTCTGTGACCAGCGGCTGGCTTCCGGGGAACCAGGAACCGGGACGGACACCTGCTCTTGCCACCACCCACAAAGCTGCCATGCTGACACGCCAGCCTCTGAAAACAAACGTGCTCTAGAAACAGGTCTTTTCGAAGGATAGGTTCAAACGTGATCCTTTACCTTTCAAAAGGATGGACGGCAGTTCTTATGAAGCTGAGTCCCACAACTCAGCTTATGTAAAACACAACGATGTTGATAATAGTTCCATTGAGTCACTGGAACGAGGCCACCTATTTCCGGAGCTCTGCTCTGAGCCTGGTCAGACCTGGCCACGTTGCCTTGGAAAACGTGTCTTCAGAAGCCGACCAGGTTCACAGCTGAGGGTGTTTCCCTTCCCGTCTCCCTCCTCTCCCGGTGACGTCGTTCCTTCTGCAAACGTCCGGCGGCTCCTACCTCGCCCGAGGCCTGGGCGCCGCATGGCTCGGGGAGCCTGTCAGGCACAGCCTCCCGGGCACCCCCTTCCTGGGCTTGCAAATCCCCCCAAAGCACCCTCACTGTGTGCCCGGGGCTGCAGTTTCCAGGGCATGTGACATTTTCCCTGTGGAGGCCCTTTTCCCCTTAGTTTCATCAAAGGAGAATTGGTTCCATTTTTTTGCCATGATCCTTTCAGCCTTAATCATTACAACTGTAGGTTCCACAGGTGCAGCATCTCACACTCTGTCTCGTTTAACCCTCACAGGGACCTCGAAGGAGGCGCTATTACTAAGCCCGTCCTGGGGATGAGAAAACGGAGGTCGAAGGATTTGTCGGGGACGTGGGACCAGGAAACAGCTGAGCTTCCAGCTTCACCCCGGTTTCTGGGGCCGCAGCGTCCGTGCCGTCAGCAGCATGCTCCCATCTCCAGATCGACCCCTTGGGCCCTGGCAGCTCGGAGGCCGTGCTGGTCTCGGCAGGAAGATGTGGCTCCTGGGAGGAGGGGCTCTCGATGGCCGGCCCTGTCCCTTCCCATGTGTCCACTGGGCAGCTGCCAGGACCTCCCCCTCCCCACTTCCCAGCACCGGCCGACACTCGTGTCCCTAAGACCTCAGTGTCTCTAGGCCTCAGTCAACACCTGCTTCCCTGGCCCCTTCCTCTGTGTCTCGTCCACCTGCTGGGATCCCTGGCTCAGCGGTAATTAGTTCCCTCCCTGCAGTTCAGCTACGCTCGGCCTCCTCCGCCGTGAAGACCACACGGAGCACCTGGGCTGGCGGCAGTGGCTTTGTCATCTGCACAGCGGCCCGCGACCTCCCGCCAGCCGGAGACCTTCGTTCTTCCACGGAAAGCCCTGCCTCCTTTCCAGGGGAGGGCGAATTCTGCTCACCCCTAGGAGAAGCGTCTGTTCCGAGAGCTCTGTACCACGGCTCCCAGCGCGAAGCCACAGCACATACACCAACATCACACTGCAGTGGGTGGAGCGACAGTGAGAGGGGGAAGGCGCTCGGGGCTGAGGGCGCCTCCCAGGCCAGCCCTCCGACAGTCCTCCAGCGACAGGTCAGTATTTGGCTTCTCGGCTTCCTATACCGCTCGTTCCTTCCAAGGCACCTCCATCCTCTGCCAAGGAGAACGTTCCAGTTCTGCACACCGGCCTCCTGAGCTACTCCTCGCTTCCACCCAGTTGTCCAAACGTGAGTAGCTTGGCGGTTGGTTCCACCACGTCTTTAACTTGAAATGTCACATCTGTGTCACGTTCACGAGAGCAGCTAAGCATCAGGGACGGCGGGTTCCTGGGACTTGCCTGGACTTCACATAACTTACCTCGGGGCCTCTGAAACCTCAGCGCGTGCTTCAGGGAGATGGCTGTGGCGGCTGTCTGATGACCGGGACGGTCCTGACGGAGGGCCGGATGGCTGAGCACCACACGCCGGTCTCCCTGTGGCCTTAATGAGTCGGGAGGTCGGGGCTCCCGTGTGTCCTGAGGTCCGGCACAGGCGGCTTCGCTGCAGCCCTTGCAGATGGGAAGCCAGCATCCACGTGCCAGTGACAAGACAGGCCCTGCGAACGTGGCTCTGGTCTGGCTGAATGTGTCCTGTGAGGAAGGGCAGCAGTTTCGGAGCCTAAAAGACGAGCCATTTTACTTGCTTTCGTGGATGAGAAGGTGTAAAAATGCCAAGTGGGGCCCCCTTCTGCCACGTCTCCACACCTCGGGGTCCCGTACGGGGGGCCGAAGACCACGGTGGGGCCGAGAAAACCCCTCTGTAAGTGGGTGAGAGGGCAGAAAACAGGACTGGGGCGTGAGGGCCAGACGCTGGGGTGGGCACGGTGGGGTCCCCGTGGCTGAGCTGGACCCTCTCCCCGGTGCCCAGCACCTGCTCCCCACTCAGAGTCAGGAGGAGTAGCCGGTGACCCCAATTCAAAGGAAGCGTCGGTCGGTTAACAAGAAGAAGCCTTGAGTCCAGGGGGCGGCCAAGCGCCCGCAGGTTTCTGGGTTGGTCGGCGGTGGACATGGGTTTGGAAACTGTGTTGCCGTCATCGCCCGGGGGACGCCTCGCGTTAGGCTCGGCCGCGGGGTGGCCTGCAGACGGCGGGTCAGCTCTGTAGTGTGGGGACTTCAGCTGAGAGGCCACCACCAGGCTCCCTGTCACATCTGCCATCCCACACGGGTACCGCAAAACACAGTTTACTACGAAACTACAATGTGTTCACGTCCCACTTGGAGGTGAGATACCGTGGAGCTGTAGCTCAGTCGTCCTGACATATGAAGACACCAGAATATGATAAAGGCTCTCGAGATGCATCTCGCCGCCACCAACCTGTCAGATGATAAACACTCCTGGCTGATGTGTTGGCCCCAAAACCGAATCTCATCAGAAATCTGAATGAGATTGGTGGAGTTTCCTTTTCTAAAAGGGACGCCCGTTGAAACGTTCTCTAAACTAATATAACTGTTATTTGTCCAGAGAAGAGGTTCCTTCCGAGTTCCTGGCTGTGGGCGCACAGTAGGACGGCAGCACACGTCTGCAACTTGAGCAATGCGTCGTCTCCTCCGGAAACTGCGAACCCTGGGACTCAGGCCCCAGCCGCACGCGACCACAGTGGAGCCTTGGGAGCACCGCGTGCTCCCAGCCCAGGCCCTCCGTCCACATCCGCGTGGGGAGGAGGCAGAGGGAGGCGTCAGCTCAGCCGCACTGATCAGACGAGCTGAACCTCTCAACTTCGGCTTCCCTCATCTGTTATCTCTGCTCTGAGGTGCCCCTCAGTCCCCACGTCTGGCACCTGTGCCTCCTGCCCCCAGATCAGACATCCCGGGAGTGGGCGCCTCCACCCCGCAACGTCCTGGGGGCATCCCCAGACCCACCTCCAGGCTCCACACTGAGGCTCTTCAGTGCAAACGTGGTTTCCCAGCTGCTCTGGGGTGACTGTCTGTGTCCTCCCACATTCTGGTGTGGAATCCTAACCCCCAAGGTGATGGTGTCACGAGGTAGGGCCCTCATGACGGGGTCAGTGCCCTAATGAGACCCCACAGAGCTTCCTGCCCCTCCCACATGTGAGGACATGGCGAGAAGCTGCCGTCTGTGAGCCAGGACTCGGGCTCCCACCAGACCCCAGACCCACTGGGCCTCCATCTTAGCCTTCCAGCCTCCAGACAGAGAGTTAATTAAGTGTCTGTTCAAGCCGCCAGAAGGGACCAAGACACTGGCCTTCCCAGTCCCTTCCCCTTCCTGGGAAGTTAGCTGTGCAGTGGAAACTCTCCCCTGATCCACGAGAGCCCCAATGCTCCGGGGGTTAGTGACTCAGGCTCTGCCCTTTGTCACCCGAAGCCCCATCCCCAGTAGGAGAGACTATGGCCAGTGTGACGGTCACTGAACGGGGAGAGAGAGACCTGTGGCCTGGAGACCTGGGAGGGCGGTGTCCACGCAGCCATCAGCAATCGTCCACACAGCAAGAAGCCCTGAGTTGTGAACAAACCCTCTTAATAAAACTTGGACAGTAATCACGCATCAAGCACCACGTGCTCCAGGACGGGCAGGGGGCGGGTTCATCCTGGGGAGAGGGCTCCCTGCCAGGGAGGCTTCTGCACCGGACAGGGCCTCTGAAGGGCATACGAAGCAGCTGACCCCTCCCACGTCACTTTTAACGAGAAGCAGCCTGTGAGCGACATGCATTCACCCAAAGGCTGCTCAGTGAGTTGGGGGCTGGAGGAAGGAGAGGACTGCGTCTGGAGTCGGGTGCACATGGTCGGCGCTCACCCATGCGCATTCCCAGGGTGGGGGCCGAGGGTTCTGTGCAGAGCCGGGACGACGCTCCCTCGGGGGGCCCTGGGCAGAGGGGCTGGACATGGGGTGCCCTCCTCCTGTCGCCTCAGGCCGCACGCTAGGGAGCTGGGCCCCCAAGCCTCTCACGGGCACTCCCTCCTAACCCCGCGCAGAGAGCGCAGGCCTTACCAGGACCATGTGGCCGGTGGAGATGTCCATGTTGGGCTGCACGGGCTCCTCCGACCAGGACGAGGTGCTGCCCCGCGCGGAGGGGCTGGGCATCGGCCCGTCACTGAACTGGGAGGACACGCTGCTGACGCGGGACGTGTGCGCGGTCTCCGGGCGCTCGGACGGGCGCGCGGCCATGCGCTGCCGGCACAGCTCCTGCAAGACAGCGGGCGCCGGTCAGAGCCTCCCTACCTGCGTCCCCAGGGCCAGGGCCAACGGGATCCACCCGTGACCACGCACAGATGTACACACGCCACACAGAGACACACACAGGTACACACACGCCACACAGAGACACACACGGGCACATACGCAGTAGACACACACACCCCCGACACAGATATACACACAGATGTACACAGATATGCACAGATAGATACGCTATAGACACATGCAGATACATACACACGTACACAGAGACACACATAGACACACACAGACATAAACAGATACACAGACACACACAGATAGACACGTACAGATTCAGAAGGGGCCGCTGGGCCAACTCTGGCCTCCCTGGACACTCAGAATGGCGTGTCATGTGCACTAACTCAGGCCCCTTCCTTATCAGAACGTGGGCCCAGGTGGGGGGGAATGGACTTTACACTGGACTGAAACACAGAAGAGGGTACCAGGCTCAGGACGTTTGCAGAAAAAACCCTCTTTTTGGTTCTACTTGTTCTCAAAACATCGCTCCGACTGGTAAAGCCCACACGGGAGGGAATCCAGAGAAGCGCATACGACAGGGAAAGTGCAGGGCGGATGGGGAACGTGGCCCCCTGGGCGGACACCAGACATGGGGCTCGCGCTGACGGACGAGCCCCCCACCCGACAGAGCTCGGCTGGGTCAGTGCGGAGTCTTGGGCTGCCTCGTACAGGGATGCGTGACCAGCCTGGCCGGGGAGGCCCCTCCGTGCCTGTGGCCCTGCAGCCGCCAGACTCGGGTCTCGGCCGTCACGCGGCCCCCGGGAGACTCAGCCGGGCGCCCTGCTCCCACCACTTCTGAGCGACCAAGCGCCCTTGGGGAGAATTCAACAGTCACGATTCGGTGACTCCCAGCCTCTGCCCAGTGAACACATCACTGTCACCCGAGCCGTCAAACAAAACGACGTCAAGAAGTTTATAAGAGCATCTGAGTCCAAGAGTTGAAAACTTGTTCAGGGGCGAAAGGACTCGTTGGAGGTCTGAGGCCCCACACGCCCCTTGCTCTTCACCTGGTGCCATCAGGGGGCCGCAGCCCACTCGCCCAACCAGCGCCGCGCGCCACAGGCCTCTCAACTCCCGCGGGCACGGCCTCGGCCACGGGGCTGGTCCCCGCTTCCTGTCCTCTCACGCGGCTGCCGCTTACTGGGCACTAAGGGTCGTCATGAGGCCGCTGAGGTCTCGCTCTCCCCGGGGACGCGGTGCCGGCTCCTCCCCAGGTCGGAGGACGGCTCAGACGCTTTGAGGGGGGCCGGCTGGATGTGAACCCCCAGCCCCGCTAGAGCACCTGGCGACGGGGATCAGTGTGGGCACCTGGAGGAGGCGGCGGAAGAGACGAACTAGAAGAAAACAGGGCCAGCGGTGAGGGTGGGGTCTCCCTGCCCAGGGCTCAGGAATTTCACACGGCTTCTAGACAACAAATGTGTGAAATTCCCCCCACGTTTCCTCAGAGTCTTAAAAACAAAAAGAAACCCAGACATGTCGGGCGATTGTGATAAGGCAGATGGTACTAGGGACCAAGCCCGTGTCTCCCTGATTTCCCGCTTCTGCGTGGGGAACATTACTTGATTCTGGGAGTGCCCGCCAGAAAATGTTTCTGCAGTAATTTCTGTGGTTTCCTTTAGTTCACCCAGAAGAACAGGCCCGATGACCTTAGGCTGAGAGAGCTCAGAAGACGTCCTCCAAGAACCTGCTCCTCTGGCGAAGATGTGAGATGTCTGAGATTCACCTTCTGAAAAGCAAAACACTGGAGCAGCTGGGTGTCTGCCCGTGGAGGTGCCAGGGATGAAGAGTGACGGCCAAGCCTGGATTGCCGTCCCTCTCCGGTCCCTGTGGAGAGTGGAGTGCCCTGGGCGGGGTGAACTTGGGTCAGGCGCTCAAGGCCCCCAAGCCTGAGTGCTGTCACTTAAAAATGGAAGGAACAGGACAGTACAGAAGAAGAAAAGGGTTCATGTGTGTGAGATGCCCGGTGCGGTGCCTGCCATGAGGTCCCATAGTCAATCAGTGCAACGGTAGAGGTACTGGTGCAGTGAAGATAAGAATAATTCTTTAAACCAGAACAAATTCTCGACGGCTTGGCGAGTTCAAAGATATTTCTAAAGGAAGCAAGAATTTTAGAGGTGGAGGCGCCCACAGAGCATCCGCTCAGGCCTCCTCATTTGATAGATGATTAGGACTGACTTACAGGCTCGGTGAAGGCCTCACAGGTGCCTGGTGGTCCCCGGGGACTGAACCTGTGACTCAGGCCCAGCCCTCTTCCCGCTGCTGCTGCGAGCGGATTCCCCGTGTGGGTCTTTGTTTTTAAAAATAAAAGCTGCAGTAAAGATCCAAGAAGAACCCGTCACCCCCATTTCCAACAGCAAACAATGCCGGACATCGGGGCCTGGACCGGAGAGAGGAGCCCGGAGGCTGGCAGCCCGGGTGATGGTGCTTTGCCTGTGCACAGGGGAGGTTCCCGGGCTGCGCAGGGACCCCGGGGGGGTGGGTGGGTGGGTGGGTCAGGCCTTCACCACATGCTTCCATCTGCAAATAAAAATGGGTGCACCTGCTGAGGTGGGACGCCTGACCTCGAACTGACCGTAGTCCCGTTTCTACCTCTGGACTACCTGAGAGGTGGTGAAGCCAGGGTCTCTGGAAGGGTCAGGCGGTGGTGGGACCCCCGTGGTGGAAGCACTGCTCCTGGGAGGCCTGGGGGGGTCCTGTCCAGCCCCGGTGGCTGGGTGGGAGGGGATGTGACACAGCTGGGGCACAGCAGCCCCCGTGCCCCAACCTCCCGTGAACCACCAGCGGAGGTGTGTTCCGAGGGCCGTGAGGAGACATTAGGGGAGCCCCTGCCTCCACAAAACTGCCCATGACACGCCCACCAGGCCACCCAGGCTGCGAGGCAGCTCCTCCTAGAACCTGGCCCAGGGCGCACCTGTTCCTCCAGAGGCTGCAATGAGAAGGTAACACATTTCACGTCGATTCTTTCTTAGCTTCCAGGAGACTCCCATCCGCTCACATCCTGGAGTCTTGGCGATGCCTGACCCTGAGTCCCGGCTGCAGCTGTTACTGGCTGTGTGACCTTGGGCAAACCACCGAACCTCTCTGGGCCTCAGAGAGGCACCAACCTGGCAGCTCTCGGCAGACGCATCTGGGTGACTGTCAGCCCTCGTCGCTAACCTCCTCAGCAAACCACATGTCCAACACTGCGCTGGATGCTGGGCACGCCGGGCGGATGCAACCAGGGCCCGAATCCGGGGGCTCACAGGCCAGCGGAGCTGAGCAGTGACAAGAGGTAGGGAGGTGTCAGGACGGGAGCCCCGGTCAGCGTGGAGCTGTGGGCGGGGACCCGGCGGGAAAAAAACAGCTCTGGAGGCTGGGATGTGGGTGGTTCGGGCCCACGGGGCTGCAAGAGCTTCCTCGCGGGTGGGGCTGCAGGTCGGGGAGCAGGGGGACGGGACCGTCCCGTGTCACCCCTGGGGCGGTGGTGCTGGTGTCCCCGTCCCGCATCTTCGCTTTGCCCCCGTTAGTGTGTTTGGGTTTCTGGAATTAAGATGTTGGAAGCAAGCCGTGTGTGTGTGGCCCAAGGCCCACCTGTGCTGATGGGCTCTGGACACGTCGGAGGGAACCGTTCACCTGCGGATGGCATCTCCCTGCACCGCACCTGTGGCTGAGGCAGCGTGGCTCGTGGCTGTGGCTGAAGTTTTCCTGGTCCCTTCAGCCTGCAGCTCAGCTCGCCCACGGGGGTCTGCCTGCTGCACTCCGCGAGGCCTGGGTCCGAGCCACATCGTCCTGACCTGAGACACAGGTTGAATGACGTCGGGCTCAGATTCGGCTGTTGCACGAGCGGCAGTTGGGGAGCCAGAGCAGGGCCAGAGCTGCCACTGGCTTCAGAACGACAGGGCTGGGGGAGCCAGGCCACGCACACGCCTGGACCACAAGGTGGCAAGGTCCACCTCCACTGCTGCCCTTGAGCTTAACACAAGAAAGCCAGGCCTATCTGTTTGTGACAGAAACAGGGATCACTCGAAAGTGGTTCAGTCTGAGCGTGAGTCTGGTGATCACGCCCCTCAGTAGGAGACACACCGGTCCCGCTGCTTGAGGAAGGGGCTCGGGTGAATCTTCAATCATGGCCTGTTCTGCGTGGTCCCAGGCAGAGTCCCTCCGTGTCCCTGTGGCCGCCGCCTGACCCCGAGCCCTGAGCTCTCACGTCTGGACACGCATCCTCCCCTGCTATGTCACCCTCCTTGCGCTGTCACAAGACTCTCTAGGTGTCCCCAGAGAGGCAGGCACGATGCAAAGAGATGCAGAAATCTCTGGGGGAGTTACTGCATGGCCTTTGAAATTAGTCCTTTATGTTGATTATAGCTTCTAAATTAATAACAGAAATTCTATATTTTGTCCATGCTCTGCACTATTGCTTTAAAATTTCTAAGGAAAAATGAACTTCTTTTTAGAACATTACTACCTGCCTTAGTAATGGTCTGGCCAGGACACTAACTGGATAGTTTTGAAATCCCTTAGGTTTATGGTTTTGTGGGGACGTTTCAGCCCACGCTCCGCAGATCTGAACCTCTCAGGAGGGCCGTCAGCCGTGGGTTTACCAGGGAGCTCTTGCTTCCATGCCTCTCCCCTCCCCAGACCAGATGGTGACGCTGTGAGCCTCCTTCTTCACTTAAAAGTATCATCTCTCCCTAAAAAGGCCTCCGCAGCCCACACGGCAAGGTTGAAGGCACGACCCCACTGACCCCTTTGAGCCACGGGCTGGGCTGAAACATTTATTTTAAATGTAATTTGAAGTTCCCATCACGCAGGGAACTGCTATCAGGTCAAAGCCCTTCCCTGAGCTTACTGGCTGCATTTATTACCGATAAGGGCCACGCACGATAGGACAGGACACTCATATCATCAAGTGACAAACATCACCATCAACCAGATCAGCCTCGTGGAAGTAATGCCCTGTGGAGGCAGTT